ACTCTTCTCTCTCTCTCTCTCTCTCTCTCTCTCTCTTAATCTCTTTATCTGTGTGTTGAACTTCTTGTGTTACTACTGGAGGTAAATTTACTACAGTGTGGTAGTTAAGACATGATCATTCTACAGGACACATCCTTGGCCATGACTCTTCTGTGTGGGGGATGTCGACAGATATCTGGTTGGACCAGCATGAAGGTGATACTGCAAACAAAGACTGTAGTGGACAAAAGGTCCTCTATTTAATCGCACAAAGGATTGAGAATACTCCCAACTAGATTATGTCTACCTCTGAATCAGTCCCTTTCAGATGTCATCTCAATCTTATCTTTCCCAGTTAAAGTTGCTTGCAAACAGTTATCACCTGTCGAGCCACCATCCAAACAGATCGAATGGTTGGTATGTAAGAGGATTTTTTGCCCCACCCCCCCCAACTTCATAGATTGTAATCCAACATATAGGTCGAATGAATGCCTTCAAAAGAACAACACAATCACATTAAGCATCAAAGGGCAACCAATTCAAGCTCGATAACCAACATAGACTGATGAATCACACATTGTTCTTCTCCTGTTGACTTGAGATCCTAACAAAAGAAAGCAAAAATATTAGTCAACCCTACCATGATTTTGGGACTAATTTTTATCTCATGTAAAGAACAGATCACCATGGAACCCAGGAAGGGTGGTGATGATCGCCACAGCCTGAGACCTTTGCCGACAGGACTGCATCCAGTTTTGGAGATCAGTGGGGCTTCCATTGGATCCACCAGCAGACACAAGTCCTTTTACCTTTCCCAAAAGCCACAGCGAGATCAGTGGGCCATCTCGGTCCCTCAGAGATCGCCATTTGTTTGTGGTCAAGTACTGCATTTAGATATGATCTCAACGAGGCTTTCATTCCATCACATTGATGAACAGTTGAAAGGTTTGTCAAGATACTCCTACATGCGCTAAAAGAGCTCACGAATCCATTCTGGAGCTCCACAAAGGAACAAGAAATCACCAGTATACGGCTGAATAGTCTCCCCACTAACAACAGTGGCCGGAGACAAATAATCGGCACAACCACGGAGACAACAGTATGGAGAGCCAAAATTATCCTACTTGTATATACTTTAGAACAACTGCTTCGATCCTTTGTTCCAAGGAAACAAACATCCCAGTAGATGAACGAACCATTGGTATCCGTAAGATCTCTGTCAAACCCTAATGTGCAGGAAGAGTTGTGGTATGATAAGTGGCAAGTCAACTCTAATTGCTTTCTTCTATTTATATAAGCTTCTGAATCTTTCCATGACAATAACAAAGGTGCCGCTCTCACTTTTCTTCGAGAAAAAGAGAGAGGCTCAATTTGCTGGTGGAGATATAGTGAGTTCTTATAGTCGCACTAGTGATTGGCTGAGTTGGAAAGAGAAGTCGCTAAGAGAAAAACAAAAGGAAGGAAAGAGAGAAAGAGAGAGAGAGAGATGCATCCTTCAAACTCGATAAGGATAACAGTAATCCGAGAACCACATATTGGCTCGGAAGCAGGACATCAACATCCCTCGAGAAGCACCCACCTATCACACACAGCTTGAGTGCACTGCTGGTTCTCAGCTCAACACAAATTGCTGAAGGGATTCGATGATCTTGTGGATGCTGATGTATGATTTCTATCACCCATAATTATTAGAACTCTTCTGAGTCATCGGTTGACCTGATAGAATATATGTAAAAAATAATAAAAATAGTATATTTGATGTTATTATTCAAAATTCAAATAAAAACAAAGAGAAAAAAAATAAAAGTGATCACCTATTAGAAGAAGAAGAAGAATCAAAGGTGTCGGCGAAGCTCAATGCTTTGGGGGGGGGGGGGAGGGTTTGCGTGTTGGTGTGGGTGTGGGGAAATATAAATTTCTCCAACGTGATTTCGTGCAAACCAAGTTAGGTTCGCAAAGATTCGAGGTGGGGTCCCACACCC